TACTAGATGTTAAACGGTTTATTGAAAAGCAAGTGGTGCAATGATTAGGTTGAGGTTTATACTAATAACAAAAATATCCATTTGTGTAAACTATAGTTCTCGAAAAAATACAATTCATTTCTGTCTACATTGCATGTTTGATAATTTATGTTGAGGTGGTGATTTATGTATACCGGACAATAAATATAAGACTGGACTAATCTGTAAAATGAAGCTGACCTACGGTTTTCTAAACAAGATTTAAAATACATTTTTATCACAGGTTTTATCAGAACCATAGTCCATAGAATATAATCCGTTTTGATCATCTTTTATCTCTCCTCGTGGCTTATCAGATACTCAATCAACGGGAATATTTAAAGAAAATCCAAACGGATAAACTAGAATTCGGTCTACCTCCTCCGCTTCTGGAACGATTCCCCATAGCTCCAAATTCCGACGAGTAAGTGACCCTGCATTTATTTGATTTTCTTGTAACCCATAACAAACCGACACATTTAGGTCCCGTAATGAATTTGAACAGGCAAGTCAGAAGACACAGTACACAAACACGCACGCACACACGAATAAACCTCACTAAATTTTTTAATTTATTTCATTCGTCTATCTTGTTGAATGTTATGCGTACACTACCCTTGGGAGTATACGAAAAGAATTTGTCTCAGTGTTTATCTTCTGACTTGCCTGTTCAATAACAAACCGTTTTTCGTTTGTTTGTTTCTTCAATCTTATATAATCAATCCCAATCTCACTCTCTCTTGCGCGCATGCACGGGCTACTTGCTGTTTCAGATTCCTGCTCACTCCGGTCTACGTGTTGGAATTCCACCCGTCTTTGGCTTGTACATCCAGTTTGGCCGAAGCTATGGATCATAGTGTTCGACTGGTATATGACCTGTTCACACCTTCTCATCCAATGCAAGAGATCATATTGGAAAAACGATTCTATGATTTTCTGCGTTATGAAGTGGAAACACTGAAGCCTCTTGGAGCGTCTTATACGCCACAGTTGCAGCGTGATGTAAGTGAATTGCAGCAACCAGAACCGGCGCACAAAATTACATGGGTAACGGTGATAAAAACTGAACCGAATTTCAGGGGCATGAATAGAAATGTACGTCACGCTGAGAACAGAAATAACAATACAGGTCTGAAAGTGTACAGTATAAACTGTGTGGAGATCTTCATACATTGGTAAACAAATTACAAGAAGCAAAAATGGGATTGTCGGACTCCTAAGGAGTAACAATGATACAATAAAAATGAAGTATATATCTCCTGAACTTTAATTTCCAACAAACAAACAAAAATTAAAAATTAATAAAACGTTATGCTTTTTTGGTTTCTTGTAGACCAGTACGAAGGACAATATCTCGTATTCCCCCTAATTTGGTATGACACATAAACTGTAACAATCAGGGGAACAGACTTTTTCTTTACAAACAAAAGAAAGGATCTGTGTTTCCAACATATTACCCAAAGCGATCATATGATGCTCATTGTGCTGACTATTTTACTCTTGTCGTATTCATTCTCTAATGTGAATCGCTCCCTTGGACATTCGATGTTACAGCAGAATTGTTGATCCATTCAGTCGAGGTACTGCGCTAGCAAACTTAATTCTGAGGACAAATGTGGCACTATTTTGGTAGTCAGCCTAACAACGTTCCTTCTAGTGACATCAGATGACAAGTCTTGAGATAGAGAATGGGACGTGAGATAATATTGTGCTCAAATGTAGTTGGCTAGTTCAGTAATGGCAGTTGTATCTGAGATGAGAACATTGATCGTTCGTAAACATGTTTTGAATGATTTCAGTCACAAACTTCTGCCGTCACACGTATGCAAAAATAACTCGAGAGAGGGAGAGAGTAATGTGGTCCAGTCAAACAGCTTTCGGCATCCAATGGAAGTAGGAGAAAAGGTGTCGTGGGAAGCCTAACCTTCCCCTCGAGAATTCTCCCAGTTTGAATTTGAAATGCAGTTATATCAAGCCGCTACTGCAAGAACGTATAGACATTTTGTCGAGTCCCAGATACGTAGTCATCAGGATGAAGAACGGACAAAAGGCAACCTGGTTTATGCAACCCCTCTATCGACACCCCAGTAAACCGGAGACCGGACAAATCACTAGGCTGCGATCGACCGTGCATATGCCGCACGTTTATCTCTTT